ATTAAGTGCATACACTCTATGAATCATTAATACAGGCTGGCAATCATTGTGAAAGGAGAAAAAACATTTTGTGAGGCTGTCGGAAACAAATGATATGAAGCTGCCATTGCATTGTGCCGTTGCACAAGTTTTAAGCTGGAAATGTCTGTATCAAATATCTGCCCAACCATGAACTCACTGGTTAACCTTCGCTGCTACTCTTAGATAAACCCCATCACCTGTAAATATGCCCTACTGCAGAGTGTTGCTTTAAAGATGGCTGAGGAAATGTAACCGAAATGCTATGAGCACTTAAAAACTAAGTATTGGAGTTCTTACATATATAGAAGTGGTGCTGATTCTAATTGAAAGTATGCGTGCTGACAATTCTGCAGAGATTTGATGATGAACATGCATTTCTTTTGGCTTAAGAGGCCATGTTTCCTGCAGATGGGCGATAAAGTTTTCAGCCTTTGCTATCAGACTTAGCTGATTCTGCTAACAAAATAACAGTCAGTAGCTTAAATATTCAACCAGTGTACTGTTATAAGAATGTTTATGTATGTTACAATTGTGTCCCTTTTTACTAAGAAGTCTCCCAATTTTCTAAGCCCTGACCCTGTAACCACTCTCCATGTTTTGCCTTTTGTAGGGAGATCCTAGTGTTACCTTTACAAATGTTATTACCAAATGTAAGTTACTGTCTCTGTTTCTGAGCCTGTTTAATTTGTAAATTTCACTGGGATGAACAGCACTTACTCCCAAGTATGTGTGCATATGTCTGAGTTGAGAACAAAGTATCACTAGCATTGGCTGATGTTCAGTATTCAAGTGAAGTATGCTGGAATTGATGGATTGCCTTAATTAGTCTGTTTTCTTTCAGTATTTTGATGCAACTGCCACTGAAAATTGACCTCCCACTTGACCTCAAACAGTTAAACAACAACAACAAAAATAAATCAAAAATCCATTAAGCATGATTTTATCATAAATTTGTTTACATCCACTATGCCTTTCCTGTCCTTGACTGTTCTCCTATTCTAATTCTATTGCATATTTACAAAATGAGTATTCCTGAAAAAAACCCTGCAGGGTCATTTTTATACCTAAACATTTCCCAGCCAACATTTTCGAAACCAACTGCAAAATGAATGAGTGTTCATTAAACAATTAGCGTTTCCTTCCTCTAATCCTCCATGAAACCCTCTGATAGGTTTGCTGGGAGTTACCAAAAGTTGTAGACCGAATTGTACGGGGCTGCAGTTGGAGATGAAATTATTTCCCCAAAGTGGGTGGAAGAGTCATGCTCTCATGTGGGGTGGGATTTTCCTGCTGTGTTTGGGGTGATTCATTTCCTCCCAACTATAGCACTGTCCCAACTCCTCCCACAAAGATGGTGAGTCTCCTCAACCTCCTGGGAGGACTTTTAGAGAAGTGGTAATTATGCAATCTAAGTAAGCTGAAGCACAACAATGATGTGTGTGTGTGTGTGTGTGTGAGTGACATACTCTATATTTTGGAAAATGCTCTGTCTGTTCTCTAGAGGTTTGGGTGCTTCTTGATATATTGTTGCCAAACTTAGCATGAGGTTTCCTAAGGTGCAGGCAGTAGTCCTTGTCCATGTTTGGACACCGACCACTATTTTGAACCAAGATGGTAGACACCAACATCAACTTGGTGTGACTTTGCCCATTTTTGGCATAGGTTTGGTTGCCTCTCTTGATGCTGTTGCCAGATTTGGCACAATGGTTCTTGAGGTTGGATGGCAGACTTCAACACTGTTTGGACATGAGGTGTTGTTTCGAATCAACAAAGCAGACTGTGCCCACACTTGGGACGAGGGTTCCTGAGCTAAGGGTCTGTGTTGACATTTGGATGCCAGGCACCATTTTGAATCAAGATGGTGAACCAAAACGTGACATGCGTGTGACTGAACCCATTTTTGGGTATACATTTGGCCGCCACATGAGATATTGTCACTAACCCAGCGCAAGGGCTCCTGAGCTAGGAGTGGCAGTCTTTCTCAGTGTTTGGATGCCTGACATCTTGATTCAAGGTGACAATCCAAAATATGACTTTGGCATAACTTCACCTGTTTCTGAGGTTGTTTTTGTGTGTGTTGAGGTTTGGATGGCAGGTGCCATTTTGAATCAAGATGGTGGACCAATATTTGACTTCAGTGTGATTTCACCCAAATTTTTGTGTGACAGGCCCAAACTCACAAAGTACAGAATCCATTTTAAAATCACAACAGTTTCTGTTTTCTAAAAATTCCCAGGCACTCCCTGCTTCCCTGCTCTGTGTGTGTGTGTGTGTGTGTGTGTGTGTGTGTGTGTAACATCAGCTTGTGTACTATCATAATAAAGGAGCCATGCCTTAACTTGTGTGAGAGCTTTCTCACTCTGGTAGGCAATTGCTAAGAGATCCTGATGGCGACATCACTTGGCAAATGTTTTGGATATTATTCAAGATGTGACATCATGCTCCTTTAGGGTTTTCCACATAAAATGAGCACTCCAAAGAAAACACAAAAATTGAGGCTTAATCTAAAATCTATTATTGCATTCTCTAAGGTCTCATTAGCCACCTCCGTTTTTCCTTTCCAGACAGATATTGGTTACAAATAATAATTGTAAACTGTTTCCAACTATTAAAACAACAACAAATTTTAATTAGATAATCCACTACTTCTAAAAGCTTGTATATTTGCTGTCTTTCTTTGCAGTTTTGTACTGATTTGTTTGCAGATGATGCAGCATTCTGTTACATTTAATCAAAACCATCCCCCCCCCCATTCCTAGCCTTTACATTTGATGATTTTTCTGCTGCTCTGTCTTTTCTGTGTAGTGATTTGGAGATCTGTACTTGTATTTGGAAAAGTGCGCTCAAAAACCCAGCTTTGAATTTTGACTCTTCCAGTATCAGCATCGCATAAACTTGTGCATGGGCAGAGTCCCTACTATCTTTTTTTTTAAAAAAAGCTCCCTCTTTTATTTATGCCTCATGCCCATGCCCAGCTGTATTTATTTATAATTTTGTATTAATTTAGAACAAGATCAGCAACGAAGCATTTTTGAATTTTATTCCGTAAATATTTGAGTACTTGGAGAGAGAGCCTGTGAGCTTTCTACAGCAGACGCTAAAGGAAAAAGGTGTAGCAGGAAGGGTGAATGTTGCAAGTGGTGCCAGGATACATGAAACATGAGGTTATGCCGGCAAAGAGAGGAAGTATTATCTTGTATGCATCATGTGAGGTTAGAATGGGCTTGACGTTCTCACACCCAGACATTTCCATCTGGAAGCTGTTCTGAGCAATGGGATACAGAGACCATGTTCTCATACTTTTGAGAATCAAGTGTAGCTGTCCGGGGAATAGGAAATGTGACCGTAATATTTTCCTCTTCTCTTTGGGGGATTTTTCTTCTTCTTTTTTTTACAATTAATTACTGTTTTGAAATATAGGCAATTTTATAAAATGACAAAAAAAGCCATTTTTGTCTCTTCTCATGTGAGTTGGTGAGGAACCATTGTATCTGAATCCATAAAGAGATTTCCTCAGTATGTTTGGTTAGCTTCGTCTCCTGCTGCATATTTTAGGCTGCCTTCATTTTCCTTATTGCTTATGTTCTACAGATGAATTTTGCTGCAGTCCTCAAAGCACTGTCTGCTGCTCTGAGCATGCATTGTAAATAATAATAATAATGCAGCAATACAGTACAGTGGTACCTCGGGTTACATACGCTTCAGGTTACAGACTCCGCTAACCCAGAAATAGTACCTCGGGCTAAGAACTTTGCTTCAGGATGAGAACAGAAATCGTGCTCCGGCAGTGTGGCGGCAGCAGGAGGCCCCATTAGCTAAAGTGGTGCTTCAGGTTAAGAATGGATCTCTGGAACGAATTAAGTACTTAACCCGAGGTACCAGTGTATATAGTAGGACTGAATCCACAGCATGGTTCCTGCCACAAAATCCTGTTGCAGAGACAGCTGAGCTGGCCCCTGCACCATGCTATATAACACAGGCCTAGGTGGACCTTCACTTTGATCTTGTAGGGCTCATATAATGTTTTTATGACCCAGGCTGATGCATGACTGCAACAGTCCACAAGACCATCTTTTACTGTCTACGCAGTCTTTGGAATATTTTTGGTCTGGTTTTCACCCTAGATGCTTCCACTGGCCTCAAAAGAAGGATGCAGCCCTCTATGTATATCATAGATATACTGGTTCCAAATACGTTGCAGTTGATACTGTGTTCTAACTTCTCCGTTTGGGGTCGTGTTGTGTATTACTGTAAATATATGAGTTACTAGGCTTACTAGAATTTGATTCTTAACATATTTAAACTCTTGTACAGTCCTTCTCACTAAGAAACGTTGTTGCTGGATTGACATGGGAGGCCATTTCTGTGTCATTGAATTCCCTTTCTACTTCTGTAACATCTGTAGGGCAAAAAGCCTCATTGTTGAAGTAAGTGATGTGTTCTCTTCCTATAACAGCTGCATGGGTGGGATCATTCAAATGACCCACATGACAATGATTCCATGGATGGAACTGGAGAGGCAAAACTTACCAACAACATAAAGGTGATTGCCACATCACTAGCATCATGTGTGAATTGGACTTGAAATATAAGTTTTTGTGACTGGCAGGAGACCTTAAAGACTTGTTCGGGTTATATCAACATTTACTACAAATTTATCTCTCTGCCTTTGCACTACCAAAGAAGAAGAAAATTCTCAAGACAAATCAGAAGAGGCCTTTTCCACAAAGAGCAAGGAAATATGGGAGATGGGGAAGTACAAAGGGCGGGAGGGAGATACATTTCTAGGATGATATTAAAAGGCTAGCAGGCTCTATTAACTCTACCGCATTATGTCACGAAAGGTCATGCAGTACATACCCCATAACATGTTCTTGATGTGTTCAAATGTTGGATACAAATCAGGAGTATATTTTTTAAAGGTACTTACAAAGTACTAAGATTTTGAAGTCTACTTGGTAGCTTTAAATATGTCCTACCTTTCTTGTTCTTGTTCCAGTAAATTGGTAAACTCATCGCTTTTCTCCATGTACTCTGCATGTTTCCTCTTCTCCTCCTCCAGATCGTACAGGGTTTGCCTGTGAGATTTTTCTACCATTAAGAGCTGTTCCAGCATCCGCCTGTGAGTTTCTTTATGCTTCTCAGCAACTTTGTCAAGCTGAAAAGAATAACACAGTACTGTAGGGGTTTTTTTGTGGGGGGAGAACAGTCATTTTAATTATTGATTTTGCCAGGAAGTAACATTAGTAATATCTATGGGGGGATTAAATTGGTACAGGCCTTATCCTAAAGAATGTATTACTCAGCTTCCATTGTGTTAATTTAGGGATTCTTAAAGGGCAAGAAGATGTGATGAAGAGCACAGGCCTTCAGGTTTCTGTCTGGTTCTGATAAATCCCCCTACCAGCAACATACTCGTCAGGACTATGACCTTCCTCTATTCCCTCATTTGAGAACCCAGTGAGACTCCCTGTAGGTTGTGCCACCTTACTTTTTAGTTCTTGATCTTACTGATGACACCTGATACTGGTGAGGTGCATTAGTACTTTCTGATTTGGTTCCCAGTGTGCTTCTGTACGAACATGATTTATTCAAATGTTTTGTCTTATTTGGAAACTTCCCTTCCCCTTTTGGCTCGGTGCTTAATTGATGGAGTGCTCTTTGTCTAGCTGTGATGCATATTAACTTTTTGTTCAGTCTAGGAAGGCAAGAGGCCCAGTTCCATGTAATTATTAGTTTCAGCTTCCCTATGAAGTGATGAAAGTTCTTTGCTGCTGCTTCTGCTGCTGCTGCTGTTATACTAATGAACTGAACAAGAGCCTAATGAAGGGAAATATAAAAACAGAACAGATTTCTCTTATTCTTTAGTATTTTGCCAGAGCTGGAAGCCCTTTGACCAAGATAGTCTAGACTTCATACTTTTGTCAGAAGGTCTGTCTCGGTGGGATTTTTCTGATCTGCAACAGATATTTTGTTGGGTTTTTCCTCTCTACATACAAAACTACCTTTCTGATAAATTTGTCTGCAATCAGTCATAAATTTGTGAGGCCAGAGTGAATTCTTAAAAAAAAAATCAGGCCAAAGTAGTTGATTATTTTTTATTTATGTTGGCATTTGTACAGCTCTTCAGTGACGCATGTAATTCATGGCCTTGCATGGTAGTTAAGGGCTACAGAGCAAGCACAGTACTGTTTTAAACTTGCTATTGGTGGTTCAGTGCCAGAGAGTTAAAGATAGTTCAAGAGTAGCTGTTTCCCAGGAGAAAGAAGGCAAGGAGAGGATGGTTTTCATAAAACCTAGCTAAATCAATCTTACTTTAGTTGCATGTAACTTGTTGCATGCAACTAGTGACCCCAGGAGGGGATGTGTATCCATATTTGCACCAGAAGCTCAGTTTATATCAGTTATATTAGGATTCAGATGAGAGTCATGATATCAAGGAAGATGTATATCTACAGTCGTGGGTTCAGCAGTCTGCTTAAGTGCACAGATCTTGCCTTCTACTTTAAGATGAATGTATAATTTTGAAAGTGCTGTGTTACACATGTTAACTTAAGTTATTCTCATTATCCAGGTAAATGACGACTAATCTGCTATAACTACTCTAACCTTGTCATGCATAAGGAATAATATGGCAATATGGAAATAAGAACCTAAATGTTTTTTAACCATATCATTCTCCATCTCAGTAAATGTGTTTCTTACTTACTGTATTTAAATATGGCCCTGTTAGTTCTCATACCACTCCCAGAACATGAGGCCGATTCTTGGGGGTTGGGGTTGGGGGTTGATACCATGAACGTAGGCAAATATTTAAACCACCCATTAAGAGTGCTTTTGTCTTGTCTGGATTGAGCTTCACTTTATTGGCCCTCATCCAGTCCATTGCCATTTCCAGGCTCTGATTTATTACTCCCACTGCCTCACCTGTGCTAGATGAAAAGGAACGCAGGGTGTCATCTGCATACTGATGACACCACACCCAAATCTCAAAATGACCTCACTCCAGTTGCATGTATATGATTAAGGGGGGGGGGGTAAAATAGAACCCTGCAGAGACTCTGAGGCATAAATGTCAAGCAGCAGAGCAAAAATACTCAAGCACCATCTTCTAGAATCAGCACCAAGGCATGAGTGGAGCCACTAGGAAGCAATACCCCAACACTGAACTTGCACAGCCTCTCCAAAAGGGTTGTATGGTCAAGACTATCAAATCTATTGAGAGGTCCACAAGAACAATGTTGCACTTTCCCATCTCTCTCGCAGCAAATGTCATCTTTCTATGTGTCCAATCTGGTTTCTACACCAAATCCTGCTTTGAAGTCCGACTGAAAAGGATTTAGATAATTAGTTTCATCCAAAATGTGCTTGGAGTTGGCTGGCAATCACCTACATGATCACCTGTCCCAAGGGCATGTTAGCAATGAGCTGACAGTTGTTCAGGTCTTCTGGGTCCACTGCAGTTTTCTTTAGTAATGGTCATACCTTTTAATGTGGCTGGGAGACCTATTCTCTCAAAGAGGCATTTGCCATCTTCTGTACTCAGACCCACTAGCTGTAATAAGTGAAGCATGGCAAAGGTTGAACATTCAGGCAGTTAGCCAAGTGCCATGCCCATATTCTGAGTCCTTTATGACCGAAATCCAACAAAATGGAACCAGATATTGTTCTGGACATCCTTTTTATCTGATCAGCATAAACTGCGGTATCCAAATTGTGGTGGATACAAACAATTTTATCTTCAAATGCTTGCTACCGAGGGATCCTTTACATCTCCTGTTGGACAAAATCATAGGAGCCCCCAAACCACACAAAAGCTCTGCAGGGTTGGCACTGTGAAGAGCAGTGGTGGTAGGAAAATTGCTTACTTGTCAACCAAAACTGCCACACAGTGGGCTCAGTAGTGACAAAACAATTCATTACCGGTAAGATGCTGAGGTTTCCCACAGAAATGAAGCTCCCCCGCCTCCCTCTGGCGACATAACTTGACTGTATGTCCTTTAGTCTCTTAGGACAGTTTCATGTGACATCATATCCTGTGCACATATATAGTAAATGCTGCAGTGGTTGGTGGGTCAACACCCACCAGTTGTGGCTTGAGTGAATTGGTCTTTATGAAACGATAGCTTGAGTTGTTGTTGCCAAAGAGAAATGAGCTAAACTGGCAACAAGTGAGATGAAGTTCTTAATGATTTCAAAACCAGGTTGTCTGCCTCTCTTAATACTTCATTATAGGAGTGAAGAAAGCTGCACATATTTGTCCTCTTGGAAATGCATATGCTTGTCCCAAGTATAGAACTGGAACCAAGACTCACATAGGATAAGCTTGGCAATTCTCAACTGGCAAAGATGTCGCATTGTTGGCAGCATCTTAGGGACTGCTCCTGAGAAACCAGCAATTAGAATAGCAGGGACTGTGAGAGCCAGGCAGTGAGGTACATTGACAGAATTAGTGTGGGGAAGTCACATAGTAATTTGCTTCTTTCTGGCACTCCAGCTGTAACTGGTGCTGGTGGCCCTTTCTCTCTCTCTTTCATAAATATGTAACATTCGAAACAAATAAACGTACACTTTATCTTTTCCAAATTCTATTTAAAGTTACAGCGTTCTGCAAAATGTTCTGCATGGTGTTTATCAGTTTCTTCCGTTTCCAGGACTCCAGTCAGCATGAGGGATCTGTACCATTTTTTACTATTTTCAGAATGTTTTTCTTTGCCTTTGATACTGCCAAGGAAAGTGGCGCTAGAAACTCATTTGCTGCCATGTAACGTTAGGAAGAAAACATTTGTATAATGTATGCAAGATAGAAGTCCAAATTATGTTTTGGAAATTTGTGGGGAGGCAAGACGGTTCCTTCCTTGGATCATTTCCTTTTGTGCTCAGAACTTCTATGACCTAATACCCTACAGTGTTTTGAAAAGGCATTGACCTCTGCACCTGAACTTCATAACTAGAGGGTTAAGGCTTCAAGATCTGGAAACGCATTCTAACCTTTTTGTGTGACATTGGTTGCGTATGTGAAATGAACTTTATCGTATGTTTCTTTCTGAAGTCTGGAAAGTGCCCTGTGGAAGAATTCTATTCATGATGTCGTTTATAGTGAGCTGTAATGAGCTGTATACCAGAAGCATGTGTGCTTGAGTGAAGAGGAAAGCATTTAGGAATGCAGATAGATATTGGCTCACATTTTATTACTTTTCATCATTTTCATCATTCATAGTTTTTTAGCAAGCTCCAAATGTAGAGTATCTCCCAATGCTGGATGTTGAAACATCTTTCTAGGGAACTCTACAGTCTAGAGATACAGTGGTACCTTGGTTCTCATACTTAATCCACTCTGGGAGTCCGTTCGACTCCCAAAACCGTTTGAAAACCAAGGTGCGGCTTCCGATTGGCTGCAGGAGCTTCCTGCACTCAATCGGAAGCTGCGTCGGATGTTCGGCTTCCGAAAAACGTTCGCAAACCGGAGCACTTCTTCCAGGTTTGCAGCGTTTGACAACTATGTCATTCAAGAACTAAGGTATCACTGTGCTAAGCCTGCTTGTTAATATTATCGCTCATCCCAAGAAGTCAGAGGGCTCAGGATGGATGGTTTAATTGACCTCCTGATTCATCCCTGGAATCAGCAGGCAAATGATTCAATAAGTTACTGTCCCAAAATAAGTAGTTTGTGTAGACAGAACAGGAGTGGTACTGGTGATGATGATGCACAGATACAGTGGTACCTCGGGTTAAGTACTTAATTTGTTCTGGAGGTCCGTTCTTAACCTGAAACTATTTTTAACCTGAAGCACCACTTTAGTTAATGGGGCCTCCCACTGCCGCTGCGCCGCTGGAGCACGATTTCTGTTCTCATCCTGAAGCAAAATTCTTAACCCAAGGTACAGTACTATTTCTGGGTTCGCGGAGTCTGTAACCTGAAGCGTATGTAACCTGAAGCGTATGTAACCCGAGGTACCACTGTACATTCTACAATGGATATCAGTGGGTTGACCAACCTACCAACTTCCTTCCCCTGGAAGCATATCCAATCCAAACAAAACACTAAGAAGAAGAGGTATGTTACATCAAGGGAGGGAGGAAGAGAAACAAAGCTGTGACAAGAGAGGAAGGGATTTGGTTAAAATGGGTAAAGCAGGTCTTAAAATGAGGGGAGCAGGTCTTCAGAAGTGTGGCGTAATATATGGATGATTCCTCAGCCCATGATACACCAGTGTGGTGCCTTCAAGCACACTTGTGCCCACAGAAGCCTTCCATGGTGCCCACATAAGCCTTCCATGGTCCCACAGAAGCCTTCCATGGTGCCCACATAAGCCTTCCATGGTGCCCACAGTTTCATCCCCTGCTGAAATTAGGCTTGAAAGAAGCCTGTATTAGCCAGTTGAGGCCTTTACCTCCCAAGCTGGGGGGGGGGGGAATATTTCAGGGAGGTTACAGCTGGGCTGGGAAGAGTTGCAGTGCATGTGTTCAGAAGGGTTCTTCTGGTTCACAAAAAGTCCCCAAAGGTCAGTGATAAGAGTCCACAGTTGTTGGTTTAGCAATCTAACTGCAGACTTTGGGATTCATTGACTACTTAGACTTTTTACCATTTGACAATTAGGTTTGCCTTCATCTCGCTTGGAAGTTAAAGGATGCTTTCAAAGCAGAAGTGTGTGTCAGTTTCGTAGTGGAGATTTAAAGGCTGGCATCTTTAAGCTCTGAGCTCACTGTTTGTAGAATTCAACAAAACAATATTTTGCTTTGCTGGCACTTGCCCTTCACTAGTTAAATCAACGAGACTCGTTCCTTTGATTCACTGGGTTGGAGGGCTAATCCCTGCGTTCATACATCCTGCTTTAAAACATGCATCATACATACCTCTCCCATGGGCTTTTCATAGATATCCTCCTGCCATAGTGTAGCCTTGGCTTGTATAGCATCTCGCTGAAGTGCTTCAAGGACCTTTTTTGGAGTAACAAAGCCATATTGCGCTTCAAGTAAAGCCAGGTTAATTTTTTCAGCCTTTAAAACTCCTATGACTTCATCCTGCGCCTGAGAAAACACAGTTACTCCAGTGAGATGAATTCTGGATATCAGCTGTTTGCAGCAATGGTATTGAATTCCTATTTTATTTTTTAAGGTCAGCTTTTCATGCAAGTTGCCTTTACTGCTGCCAGTCCTTTGTCAATTCATCTGGCACGTGAGTGATTGGAAAAGGAAAACTTTGCCTCTTTAAACAGGAACAGGGAACCTGTTGCCCTCCAAGTATCATTGGGCACTCAACTCTCAACATCTCTGACCATTTGCAGTGCCAAGGGCCACAGGTCCCCATCCTTGTTATAAGACAACAGTAGTAATTTAAAACAATATTTCATCCCTCCCCCCCCTTCACCTTTGCCAACCACATTCTTTGTTCTCTTACCTCTGGCTTCTGTTGCCATCCCCTTATCCCAATCAGTCACTTTCCGTTTTAGCCAATGCCTGTACCTTCCAGATGTTGGCAGTGTGTATGGAAATATGGCCGTAAAAAAAAGGGACTGTCAATCAGCAGTAGGAAATGTGGTGTCTCCCAGATGTTGCTGGAAACAACTCCCATCTCCCGTGTCCTTTGACCATGCTGGTGGAGACTGATGAGTGTTGTAGCCCAATACATGTGGAGGGTACCACATTGGCTATTCTTGGTGGAGATAAGAGGGCAGGTGGCAGGCCCCAGCATGCACATGTTAGGGTGGGCTGGCCAAACAGATAACGTAATGCTTTATAGTCAAACGCGTGCTTTTTCTTACTGGACAAGTTTTGTAAGGAAAAGAACGACTTGAAGGTATTGGCAGCTGTTTTCGGAGTTTCATGTCACTCATTCCTCCTGGGGGAAGCCAAGGAGCAAGGGTACAAAGTCACCCTTTGTTGTTTTAAGTCAAACCAGAAAACCGTCTGCTACTATTGTTACATATACGTGGTTGTGCACTGAAGCCAGCGAGGTACACATTGCAGAGGATGTGACCTTCCGCAGCGTGCATTCCAATAGCATGCAATAATGGCAGCTCTTTAAAACAAGATTAATTGGCCTAGAAGTTGGCAGGGTGACCCGTGTATGTTTGTGATTACCTATACAATACAATACTCCATACACGTGGCCAAGATTTTTTCAAAAATAATTAATGGTATTAAGGATGTTGGATTTCAGGTGTCATGGCTTAGATCCCTCAAAGCCCTTAGAAGAAGCAGGCGCTTTAAATTGGCTGATGTAAGATGCTAATAATAATAAAAAAGGCCTTTTACAGTCATAGCCGGTGGAGACTCTGCTTCTGTATCTTTAGCTGCTTTGACAACACGCAAGCGGAGAGATGGAGTTTATCATTTATTTTGAAAAGAGATAATGAATAGCCCAGGTGAAGCCAAGCTCTTGAAATCCCCTTTGGCTGTAATGAAATAAATGGCACATAAAAGTGCTTCGCTTGAGCTGGACGGCAGTCTTAAAGTGGAAGGAGCCATAGCTCAGTGGTAGAGTGCCATATGGAAAATCCTAAATTTTAATCCCAGTATTTCAAGAGTAGAAACACAAAAACCCAGGAATCAGGTAATGGAGACCTTGAAATCAATTCGAGTAGACAAGACATGCTGCCAGACAGAGTGTACAATACTGGCTGGATGAACAAATAGCATGACGTGGTATAAATCTGCTTCCCATGTTCCTGTGAAGTTGGATGTATAAGTACCTGTATTTCTGAAAAACCCAATGTGTTTGATTGCCTTCCCCCCTTTCCATCTTGACAGGTAGCATTTCACACGGTTCTTTCTTTTAGACTGCAGCCCTATAAACACTTACGTGGGAGCAATTCCTATTGAAGTCAGTGAGACTTAATTATGAGTAGATATGCAGAGGATTGCTCTGTAAATCACTATGCTACATTATCACTGACTTTTTTAAAAAACACACAGTCTGATGTCTTATTTGTCACATGCAAATTAATATATTCATGTTGTTTTTACATCAGTGATAGCAACAGAGCTCTCAAAATGGGAAGCAAGAGCTGTGTATTTATAATAAAACGAAAAAATATACTGACTTGTAATTCTCCCTCAAGCACGCTCAGAAGAAATAAAAGATCATCGCGAGAAAGATCTTCTCCCTTTTTGGAATAGTTTCTTTGTTTCTTGTCTGAATCAGGGCTTCTCAGGATAGTGTCTGTTGTTGCTGCAAAGTCCTTTTCTGTTTTTCTCCTCTTCATTTTTACCTTCTCGGTGCCAGGGGTGTCTTCTGTATAAGTGTCACTTGGCATTTTTTGAGAATGTTTTGACTTGGAAGAATGTTCCGTGCTGTTACTTCTGGAACGCATTTCCAAATACCTGGTGAAGGAAGATCAAAAACCAATGGTAAAAACCTAAAGTAACACAAAATATAATAGCGTTGTGGATAATGGAATTGTCTTTGGGTTTGGTACATTCTAGGCAAGGTCTCTTAACCAAGACACATTTTCAGTCAGGCAAGTAAACAGACCATGAACTTTATCCAGGATATCTTGTAAAAGTAGATGGGATGGTAAGATGGAACTCTCACATTTTCTGTGACTGCTTTTGCAGCCAGTCCTGTTAAATAAAACTGCATCCAAACTGTGAAGATGAGAATTCAATTCGATCTTGAATCTTATCAAAGATTCTAGCAATTTACTTTCATTGTTATGAAGTTGTTATGTTATTACAAAATAAAGTAGTGAAGTACTACACCTGTTTACATATAGACTGCTTCCGGATAACCTGCATATTGAGGGTACATCCTTATTTGTGTGCAAAAAATTTGCCAAAAGTCTAGGGAACGTTGGCTGCTTATTTGCACATCCAGCCAGATTTGTGGGGAGTTTATACACAGTGCTATTTTTCTAGAAAAAGAGGTGCCAGAATTCACCATGAACACCTCCCTCGTTCTCTTAGAATGGCAATGGCACCCAGCTAAGAGGTGCCAGAACTGAGTTCCTGCGAGTTCTGACTAAAAAAAAGTCCTGGTTATACATTGTTTCAAGAATTTTTTATTCCATATTTCCCATCATTTTTTAACCATAAAAGTGTGTTTGAGTGTTTGAAATGAGTTTGTTGTACACGAACACTAAATCCATTTGGACTGAACTCTCAAAGAGTTCCAAACCACAAAATATCAATAACTTAGAAGCGCTCATAGATATCTGAAGCACAGAGAATTATATACCCAGTGCATGTGATGTGCATGTCCTCTCAGTACAGTCAGAATTGTCTGTTGAGTTGCCATGTAGTTCTGTTTGTGGGATGTGCCTGGGCAGCTGAAGAAGTATCTCGGGGTGTACCTGAGGGGTGTAACTGAGGATCTACCTGCAATGCTGGTGTTAAATTACAGGAACCTAACCTAGGAAGCTGTTTTCTACCAAGCCAGACCATCTAGCTAGCACCAGCTCTCTGGTGTTTCAGAAGCCGTTTTCCCTGGCCCTACCTAGAAATGGCAGAGATTGAATGTGACGGCAACAAGAACATTGTATTACACCTGAAAATGGTTGGTTAAATTGGAGTGGAGCAACATGCTCATTCACCGAGTATATAGCAACTTCTTTTAAAAGAATTGTGAGAAGAAAAGCATTTTTAAAACAACAACTGGGTGAAGTGGAAACTGGTGGTATATTTTGGAAGGAGTGTGATGAAGAAGACATAAGAAAATTTAAAGCAAAGTGATGAGATGAATCAACTTAAAACCAGTGAGTGGGGAAAGAGGCAACTTTTCTCTCTCATATCTGGAGTTCTACATTAGCCTGCTCTTATCTTAGAATATTCCCAGCAATATTCACTTATGGACTGTTTTAGAAAGCTAGGATGATGAGCATTGCAGCTATTTCTTAGTACCCTAACCAGAAAACATGGATGGAACGTGGATTTGGAAAAAGTGTTTTCCTCCATACACACACAGCTGGATAAAGTGGTTAGAAGGAACCTGAATTAAATACCATGCTGTTATGTCATTCCATCACAGTGGCAGGTGGTTTGTAATACAGAGGTGTCCCTAATATAACTGTCTGACATGCCAGATGAATAGTTACGCACATAATATATTATATTTCAGAGCGAGTGAATACATTTTCTGTGTGTGTTTAAAAAAATAAATATAGTTGCCCTTTATGAGTTGTATCTGTGAAGCAGCACATGATAAAATCTTCTGGAACTTTACTTATATATTCTGTCAATCTGAACAGTTTGTTTTTGACTTCTTCAAAACTGTATACTGTTTATAATATTCTGTGAAGTTATAACTTTTAACTTTATAAATATTCTTTAAATATAAGAACTTTCTGTGCCTGTTTGGCAGAAATCAGGTACATTTTTTCAAAATAACTGCATTTTTCAAAATAACAGTTCCTGTGGCATTTATAATTGCTCACTGTTGAATCAATTTGATAAAATTCAGCATATTGATAAATTTATATTTATGTATTTTGTCATATTTTTTAAATATATGTATATATTTTAAAAGGACACTTAAAAAAAAAGTTTTTATTAGGGATTCTGGAAGATTTAAGGCCCTGAATGGGGGATGCCCCATTCTGTAATGGGTCTTTCAGCATAAGTAATTGATTTATGAATCAACACAATCACTCTTTGAAGCATATATTCCATTTCCCTATGGTATGCAACTTTGATTACTGACTCCTCGCTTCAAAATGTTCTGACTCGCAAAGAAATTAAGTCTCCTTTTCAGTACCTAAGCTTTAAATGCATCCTGTCATATTGGAAAGTTCATCATCCTTTTCAAAAGAAATTCCCTGGTGCTTCTGCCATGATTCCATGTGTAGATGTGGTTTCTGGTACTTCAGGACTTAATTTGAAAGAATGGTTAATACACATGACTCTGGTTTTTAGGATGCTCTGGGTGTGGTAACTTCACATATGATAGCATTAAATGGACATAGAGATGATAAAAGCCTGTTTTATATCAAGACTTATCCCGGCTTTCATTGGTCTTCGTGATTCCTCTCATTGCATTGCTTTTCTCTTTGGCATTATTAATGCTTTGAAGACGTGAATGAAAGCTGTGGTGGACATGTTGAAACTCCTCCAAAGGGATGTTTTATATTACACCGAACTTGGATGACTAATGCATCAGGCAGCTGGTTTTGTGGCCTGTTTTGGTTTAGCAGAGGGTGTAAAGTGGTAAGAAACACTGGTGCGTCTATGAAGCAAATAATTGATTCTTTAGAACCTTGGCATTTTATTTTCCTTTTTTTCTTTTCTTTTTAGCAGACCTCTATTTCTTGGGATTCCTTTGTAGTTCGATATTTTTGATTATTTAGGGGAAGTGCCTTTCAAAACATGCTTCGCATGTTTCTGATTTTATCCTAGCTGCTGACTTAAGTAGTTTGCACCAGGGCTTGATGGAAAAAATTCATCACCTCCTTAACTAATTAGATCTAGATTGGATTAACACAACTTTTCCTTCCAGGTGACTCTTTGTAATCTTTGTGCATAGTTTGATGAACTGTAGTGTAGAACTTGAAGATATTTGTTTCCTTAAGCTGGTTGTGTTTGGGTTGGCCCATGCTCAGAAGGCTTCTTTTCACCCATTTGCAGTGACCTTGTGCATACTCAGCTATCTCCTTTATTCCCTTGCCTGCTCTCCCCAGTTCCAATTTCCATACTCTCTCTCTCAATGCTACCCTCCTCCCAATCCAGGCTTGGAGCTATCCCCTCCTGAATGCAGCACAGTGTGATAACGGTTGTGGGCATTGCTGTGTCTGTGCAACAAGGAAGGGTTCTATTTGCTATGGGCATTCACCAACTCCTAGAGCAGTGGTTCTCAACCTTGGGTCCTAAGATGTTTTTGGCCTACAACTCCCATGATCCCTAGCTCACAGGACCAGGATGATGGGAGTTGTAGGCCAAAAACATCTGGGGACCCAAGGTTGAGAAAGGCTGTCCTAGAGGTCCCTTCAGCTCCGCCATAAAATATTTGAGGGGCCACCCCCAAAAACGTTGGTGGGCATTGCCATTCAAAGGTGTGTGCGTGCCATGTCATGTGATCAGTTATGCAGGGTGGGGCTTACCTGTCCCCCCCCCCATATTTTATTCAAGTTGGCATCTCTCCCTGGGGAAAATTACTCTTCTCTGGGGAGAAAACTGCCTGCCATTACAAGAACCGTATGAGAGAGGTGTGGCATTCATTCATAGAGATCACAGCACATGAGGGTAGAGGGAGATTTTTCCTCTTTCCCTTCCCAGTCCAGCTGTATTTATCTCTAGGTGCATTGATCTGCTCCTAGAGATTTATTTCTCTTTTTTAAAAAGAGGAAGCTATGTAGTCTTGCAACTGCAGTGCTTTAAAACATTGGTTTGTATGGTCAATGTGCACTGTGCCTGACTGCAGGTTGTAGTTGCCCATCAAGAAAAGAATCAAATCTATTCTTTGCATTCCCTTCTCCCTACCCACCCACAAACTTTTTCATCTTGGAAGTGCTAGGGGTGTACATGTTGAAGCTTTGTCCTAAGAAGAAATTGTAGAATGGGCAGTAGCATAGTGAAAACAATGTCCTCATTATCGTTCCCAGTTTACCCCTGAAAACTTCTGAAGCAATCTGACAGACACAGCTTTACTTAAACCTTTTTCTGTCTGGGAATATTCACTTCAACTTAGCCAGTTTTCACACACATAAAAAAAGAAAAGAAGCCACAGCCCTTTGATCTTCCTTTGAGGAAGCTGTTCTCAGGCTACTCAAACGTGCTTAGTAATGTCTGATAAATCGGCATGCTTGATCCTTTCATGAATTCATGTTGGTGGAAGACCCAGGAATTTACAACCATCATCAGCGTTCTCCTGTTAGCTATAAGCATAGAATATTTTTGTGGCGGTAAAAAAAGAATAGGGAAGTATAAAAAAATTGTTTTTAATTTGAGAAGCAATGAAAGGCACAACTTTACATTTAAATATGCCTTTTACATTGGTAAAATCATGCAAGATATAGATCAAGAAAGGGATAAGTTGTCCCAGATGGACGGGGTATAAATATTGCTGTGTTGTTGTTGTTGTTGTTATTTGTCAATAGTGGTTGATCTTTCAAATGTATAGTTTTGGGAGCTGGCTCTCATTCTTTTTTATATAGATTCAATAATGGACCTGAAAAAGGTAATATTTAGTTACCTAGCTAATTTTCTTTGCATACTTATCCATCACATACATGCAAGAAAGAAAAGGCATGTTGATGGTGGACGTTGTGGTCACAGTGCATGGTATTAAAGGCTCATGATGACTCAATACAGTGGTACCTCTGGATACGAACAGGATTCGTTCCGGAGCCCCGTTCGCATCCTGAAGTAAATGCAACCTGCGTCTGTGCGTGTGC